TGCTGATGGTGTTGTGGGGTGCCTGCCTTCCTGATTCATCCAGCAGTGTGGCAATTGTCTCTTTGGCTAGGTCGATGTTTATGGATGTAAATAGTGCCGTTACTTCGAAGGATATCATCGTCTCGTCCTCTTCTGTTCTGGTGTCCTTGATGAATTTGAGGAATCCTTGGGAGGAGTGGATGGAGCTCGTAGTGTTGTCTACAAAGCATTTCAGCTTCTGTTGCAGTTCTTTGGCTAGTCTATGTGTTGGCATACCTGGTAGCGAGACAATAGGCCTGAGAGGGATCCCTGGCTTGTGTTCCTTAGGGAGTCTATGGAAGTGGGGTGTGTTGGATCCCTCTAGCTTCAGTTGTTGGTAGTCTGTCTTGCTGATATCTCCTGTGTTGTGTAATCTGGTTCTCTGACTCCCTACCCTATGCCTATAGCCCTGTATTTCCCAAGGGTAACGCACCTAACCTACACACCCCTGAAGATTAAAAGCAATTTAGCATGGGCAATCCACCAAGCTTGAACATCTTTGGACTGTGGGAGGGAATCAGAGCATCCGCCAGAAACCCATGCAGGCACAGGGAGAAGATACAAACTCCACACAGACAGTTGTCCAAAAATTGAATCGAACCTGGGTCCCTGGTGCTATCAGGTAGCAATGCTAACCACTGAGCCACCATGCTGCCCAAGTGTCTTTTAAATGTTGTAACTGTGCCTGTATCCCCCACTTCCTCTGGCAGGCCATTCCATACACAAAACACTCTGCGTAAAGAAATTGCCCTTCATGTCCTTTTTAAATCTTTCTCCCCTCACCTCAAAAATATGTCCCCCAGTTTTGAACACCCCCACCCCAGGGAAAAATCCATGCTATTCACCTGATCTATTCCCCTCATGATATTATAAACCTCAATCTTCAATGCTCCAGTTGAAAAAGTCACAGCCTATCCAACCTATTCCCGTAACTCAAACCCTCAATCCTAGACAACATTGCGGAAATCGTTTCTGAATTCTCTCCAATTAAATAATGTCCTTTTTTTGCAGGGCGACCAGAAATGCACATGGTACTCCAGAGGAAGCCCAGTTTGAGGGATGTGGGTTTGGGGTTTGTGGTGTTTATTGCAGACAAAGTGGCAGCATGGGGAGTAGATGAATTGCAACAAGTAGCTGACTGATCTGTGGAGTGGGGACCAGTTTTCAATGACAAGGGCCTTCTGCCTGCCAACAACTACGTGATTGATAGCACTTCATCTGCTGAAGGAGCAGCACTCCGAAAACTTGTGATTTCTAATAAAGTTGGTGGAGTATAACCTGGCATTGGGTAACTTCTGACTTTGTCCACCCAAGTCGAACATCGGCATCTCCACATCATTGCCAGCTCAACTTGTGAGTGTGAATGATTATACCGCAGAAGCAATTGGACCTCTGAAGATTGAGGTGGAGTCCTTTTCTCTGCAGTAAAAGCTAACTAATGCCTGAAGAGAGCCAATTTATTTTCCCTTACCAGATGGTGCAAGCTGTTGGCTTTAACCAGAATTTGTAAAGCAGTCATTTTGTGTTTCCTACAAGGAAGTGGCAAACACCTGAAGATGGGGTGGGGTGGTGGGGGGGGGGGGGGGGGGGGGGGTGGTGGGGGGGGGGGTGGGGGGTTGGCGAGGGGGTGGGTGGTGGTGGTGATGGTGGTGGTGGTGGGGGTGACAGAGAGAGAGAGAGAGAGATTGACAAAGGGCAAATCCTGACGAACAAAATGCTTATCTCAATGAATCCTGTGGACAGGGACCATTGAACTGATTTGCGCTAAATTCTGAACTGTTGAGTTATGACATTGAAAGCTGGAGGTCAAATTGAGTTGCTTTTATTTGTCAAATATGAATATGCTATTTTTAAACTACAGTTACATCCCTGACTCTGTGATATCAATTCCCTTCCGTGCCCTCCCAGTCTCTTCTCTCTTTTAAGTATTCTGTTTTCTCTCAGATATTACCATTTTCTCAAAATCAACAATCACCAAGATCATCAACTTAGGTGCAGAATAGTGTAACTTACAACACAGACTGAGACTATTCAGTTAATCATGTTTGCACAGTTACACAATAATTACCTTGGAGTAAAATCTCTCAAGGAGTTTTACAAGGTACAGTTGAGTAAGGGATATATTTGACCAGTTAACTGACACTGTAATAGTCTCAGAAATAAGTCACCAATATCAACGACAGGAAATCATTCTAGACCAGGGTATCATGGAATAAAGCTCACAGGTCAAGGAAACATTTTGGATTCATGATAAACATTGCTTCTTCATATTCCAATACAGAAATTCTCAGCCACAGGAAACAGTTGAGGCCAAAACATTGAATGTTTTCAAGAAGGAGTTAGATATGGTTCTGAGGGTTAAGGTGATCAAAGGGTGTAGGGAGAAAGCAGGAACAGGGGCCTGAGCTGGAAGAGCAGCCATGATTATGTTGAAATGCAGTACAGATACAATGGGCCCAATAGCCTACTCCAGCTCCTATTTTCTATGTGTTGAGAAGGTGATGGTGAGCTGCCTTCCTGACCTGCTGTGGTCCACTTGGTGTTGGGACATCTGACCCAGTGACACTGAAGGAACAATGATGATATATTTCCAAGTCTGGCTGGTGAGTGCTTTGGAGGGGAACCTGAAGGAGGTGGTGTCGCATGTATCCTCTGCCCTTTCCTTTCTTTTGGGAGAGGTTGTGGGTTCAGAGCCACTGTTAGAGAACCCTTGGTTAGATCCTGAAGGGCATCTTAGAGATGGTACACACTGTGCATCGGTGTTAAAGGGAGTGAATGTTGAATGTGTTAGTTGTGGTGCCAATCAAGCAGACTGCTTTGTCCTGGATGGCGTGGCATTTCTTGAGTGTTGTTGGAGCTGCACTCATCAAGGCAGTAGAAAAGAATTCCATCATATTCCTGCCCTATGCCTTGTAGAAAGATGATAGACAGGTTGTGGGAGCCAGAGCGAGTTACTTGATTCCACCTGCTCTTGCAGCCACAATATTTATTAAACTGTTCGAGTTAATGGGCGAGTCATTGTGGAGACCAGGGAATTTTTTTTCTTCATTTTCTGATAGGCTGTGGACATCACTGGCAAGGCCAGCATTTGTTTCTCATCCCTAATTGCCCTCAAACGGAGTCACTTGCCTGTTCATTTCAGAGGGCAATAACAACAATCCACATTGCTGTGGGTCTGGAGTCACATGAAGGCCAAACCACGTAAGGACAGCCGATTTCCTTCCCTGAAGGACATTAGTGACCCAGATGGGTTTTTGCAACAAATAATGGGAACATTAAGGTGATATATTTCCAGCTCTGAGTCAGCCTGGAATTTTCTCAATACCATTCCATCGGTCTGCATCAATCCTAATAATAAAGATTTGACACTTTAACAGAATACAAAGGGATTTGTTTTATAGAAACACATTGTATTCCATTGGTATTCACTCCCATGAGCCAGTTCCACATTCAAGTGGACCATAGCTGATCTGTACATCAGTGACATTTAAACTAAAGGTGAATTTGTTTTCCTGTGTAACTCATTAAGATGTGGCAAATTGAGGACTCTAGGACTGAAATGAATGGAATTTAGAAGGATGGGGATGGTGGTGGGATGTTGGCAGGAGCTATCTGTTTGAAAGTTTGGAATATTGAGAGGCCTGGATAAAGTGGAAATGAAGAAGAAGTTTCCACTAATAGGAGAGACTAGGACCCAAGGACACAGCCTCAGAGTGGAGGAATGATCTTTTAGAACTGAGATGCGGAGGAATTTCTACAGCCAGAGGATGGTGAATCTGTGGAACCCATTGCCAGAGAAGACTGTGGAGGCCAAGTTATTGAGTGTATTTGAGACTGATAAATAGCTGCTTGGTTCTTAAAGGGATTAAAGGTTATGGGGAGAAGGCAGGAGAATGAGGCTGAGAAACATTTCAGTCGTGATCAAAATGTGGAGCAGACTCTTTGGGCTGAGTGGCCTAATTCTGCTCCTATATCTTGTGGTTTTATGGTCTTCAGGTTTTAAGTGGGAAATTTCAAACTCTCACCTCTCAAGTCTTTGGGCTGTCATTTCCTACAATCCTCTGCAGCTCCTGTTCTGCTCAATGACACTCCACCTCCACCTCCACCTCCACCTCGAATGTCCCTGTCCTGAGCTAAACCCTTCTTCATATCCGCCCAGGTTTCTCCCCTTCTTATGACCCTCATTCATTCCTTAGTTAAAGGGATACAGACAGAGGGACATAGGAACAGGAGTAGGCCATTCAGCCCATCAAGTCTGCTCCACCACTTAATTAAATGATGGATGATCAACGACCTCAATGGCACTTTGACACATTATCTCCAAACCCCTTGAAGTAAATCATCTCCAGAAAGCTATCAATTTCAGTCTTGAGCATTCCCAGTGACTGAATCTTCACAACTCTCTGGGGAATGTAGGTTATTAGAATTTCAGCCAAGCCTTTGACAAGGCCCACTATCGGAGAACGATAATGAAAGTAAAAGCTGATGGGATCCTGGGTCACTTGGCAAGTTGGATCCAAAATTGGCTTTGTCCCAGCAACAGAGTGTGGTGATAGAGGACTGTTTATGTGAATGGAGGACAGTGTCCAGTGGTGTACCACAGGGATCAGTGCTGGGTCACATATTGTACATGCTAAACATAAATGATGTGGATCCAAGTCTGGGAGTTGGTAAGTATGTTGGCAGATGATGCAAAGGTTGGCCAGGTGGTTAAGAGTGAGAAGGTAGGTCTTTTGTGACAGGAGGATAAAAACAGTATGGTCAAATGAGCAGATCAGTGGCAGCTAAAATTTAAGTTTAGTAAATATGAAGTGATGCTCTTTGGAAGAACTAACAAATCGAGGGATTACTCAATAAATGGTAAGGAACGAGGAAGCTCAGAGGAGCAGAGGTGTGGAGCAACTGGAAATGCAGGTTTTGTTGTCAGATGCAGTTTACTGACTTAGTTTTTTTCAGACGTGATCTTTATTTTCCATTTCCAGGTGCTGTGTTGAATCCAGTGCTAATTTAGTTTCCAACAGTCAGTCAGACAGTGAGATGACGGTACACCCAGAAGAACACCAAGCTACAAGATGTGATCGTTCTTTGGTAACAACAGCTCCTGGGGAAAAGAAAGGACAAGACAATAACTCATTCCAGAAATAATTCACCAGGAAACTCTTCCAACTTTCCTGGTTCATTTCAACCTTCCAGAGAACCCTCCAAGAGCAGCTTCATTCTGAACTTCACAAACATGCAGCTCAGAGACACTGCCATCTCTACTTGCAATGTGTAAGGCTACACCCAAACAATTACTGCCCCTCAATCTAATCTATAAAACCATAAGGTATAGGTGCAGAATTAGGCCATTCGGCCCATTGAGCCTGCTCCACCATTCAATCATAGCTGATAGGTTTCGCAATCCCGTCTCCTTGAACACTTCCAATAACCCTTCATCCCCTTACTAATCAAGAACTTATCTATCTCTGTCTTTAATACACTCAATGACTCTGTGGCAATGTGTTTCACAGATTCATCACCCTGTGGCTGAAGAAATTCCTCCTCATCTCAGTTGCCATTGTGGAATGTCACCAGACTGTTATCTCCTTATATGACTCCATGTGAGAAACCCTGGAAAGTTTCCCTCTTTTAAAGGCACTATCAAACTGCAAGTTGTTGTTTAATCAGTTTAGAGCCAATCCACATATCAGCTTCTATTTTTGACCGAATATGGGTTTCAAAAGTTGCAGGTAGTGACTGGCAAATGATATCATCGACAAAACAGAACAATAATGGCTTCCTGTGGTTTGGGCGTGTTTTCTTCTTGTTTATATCGTTGTCAATTATTTTTAACAGTCTGTTCAGCAGATATTTAAAATTGCACTTGATTTCATGCAATAACCAATTGCTGAATAAAAATCTAATTATCTGACCATTAAACTGTGTGTCTTTGTTCTCGAGCAAATTAATTGAAAAGTATTACCAGGAGCGGCTGGCAGCTTGTGGACGTTTAAGGTGATAAAGTTTTCACTCCCACATCACCCTAACTCACTGTGTATTCATGTGTTGTCAATATCTGTCTTGTAATGAACAGCAACAGAAATGACAAATGGTTCGAGCCACTTGTTTGGGAGAAGCTGCTGCCCTTGAGATGTGTAAGCACTGAGGTTGCAGACTTGCTTGCTGAGCCAGTGTGCTTCATTGCAGATGTTTCATCATCCTGCTAGGTAACATCGTCAGTGCGCCTCCGGTGAAGCGTTAGTGTTCTGTCCCACTTGTTATTTATATACCTCGGTTTGCTGGGGTGGTTGGTAATACTTCCGGTTTTGTTTTTCAGTGGTTTGTATATCGGGTCCAGTTCAATGTGTTTGTTGATGGAGTTGTGGTTGGAATGCCACGCATCCAGGAATTCCTTGGCATGTCTCTGTTTGGTTTGTGCTATTATGAATGTATTGTCTCAGTTGAATTAGCATCCTTCTTTGTCCGTATGCATTGAAACCAGTGAGAATTGGCCAGTGAGAATATCAGAGATGACCACAAGACTACTCAGACCCCTCGGTATCAGCTATTGACAACTGTAAAGGACTCCATACTCACAACCAATAAAATTGATGTAATATACAAAATCCCATGCAAGGACTGTGAGAAACATTAAATAGGCCAAACTGGAAGAAAACTGGCAATAAGAGTACATGAACACCAACTAGCCACAAGAGATACAACCAATTCTCACTGGTCTCAATACTCACAGACAAAGAAGAACACAAATTTGATTGGGACAACACATCCATAATAGCACAAGCTAAACAGAGACATGCCAGGGAATTTCTGGAGGCCTGGCATTCCAAACGGAACTCTGTCAACAAACACATTGAACTAGACCCGATTACAAACCACTGAAAATCAAAACTGGAAGTATTAACAGCCACCCCAGCAACCGAGGCATATAAATAACAAGCAGGACAGAACACCAACGCAGGGTGACGAAACGTCTGCAATCAAACACACTGGCTCAGCGAACAAGTCTGCAACCTCATCCACAACCTGAGCTAAAAATCTTCTCAAAAACTTTAAACATGTAAACAATGTCAGGATCAGCATCTCTGACTGTAGACCACAAGGTACAGGATAAAGTTCAGCTCTGTGGCGCAACACGTCCCCACAAGTTGCTGAGAAATAATTTTAATTGTATGAGGGTTGGCTTTGTATTTAACTAATGTTGTGTTCTGCTTGGTGATCTTCAGCTGAGACCACAATAAATAGCCGTGGGTTAATCACACATTGTGATCCCTGAGTCTACTTTCAGGGGTTCTCTGATTTAGCTCATTCCATTTCCCCTTCGTGTCCTTCCCTTTCAGACTATGCTTCAGACCTAACAATTTGATCAAGTTTCTGAAACAGAGTCACACTGGACTGGAAATGTTAACTCTGTTTCTCTCTCCACAGGTGCTGCTGAGTTTCTCCAGAAATTTCTGCTTTTTGATCAGTTTTTTGGGTTTCTTATCTGGAGGTCTAAATCCTCAATTGTTGATAACATTTGTTCATTTCTACACCTGTGCAAAAGATTTAGCATCATTTTACTCAGTACATGCTACCATGCAAATGTCAGTTGCGGTTTTAATGAGGAGTGTTGGCCCAATGTCTTTAAATAAGCATTTTGACTAATTGCAGAGTTACAGCAAATGTGTGAATTCTTGATTTTAAGTGATTGACTGTGAGGATCTTACACTGAATAAATAATTGACATCATATCTGAAATGAACCTCACCGTGCCACATTTAGAAAATCCAGCCAGTAATATCCTTCCTCAGAAAAGAGCAGCCATTGGTTTATTGTCACTGTTTCCCCTTACTAACACTTCAACTCATTTCACTTTAACTCCTGAGGAATGAGATATTAAAGAAGCTGCAGTTGGCAGAGTCACTTTGTGTTTCGATGTATTAACTGGACGTACAGTAAACTGTGTGGATAAACAGGGTTGTCACTCTGTTGAGATGATCACTGGAACTCTATTTGCTGTGACCCTGTCCCTCTGTGTTGCTTTGGGTAAGTGTTTGCTTTGGAGAAGTTTAACTTGTTATAAAAGACCTTTCCGTGGTTTGTGCTGCTCTGGGGTTGGTGTGAATTCTATACGTTTGAACATTGAGAACTGGAGGAGACTATCACAAGGAAAATTTGTTACTGTCTGGAGATTGTTTGGTGCAGCTGACACAAAGCTCCACAGGCTGGGAACACAGATCAGAAAACGGAATTTTCCTCCCATTCTTTTCTGTCATTCATTTAATGGGAGAATGGGATTGAGGGACAGGCTGCACATTAAGGTGTGTATTTGGGGTGGATTGGATTGGTCTGTGTGTTCACTGGATCTTGTTGGGATGGATTTGAAAGACAACCTCCTGTTTTTACAAAATTGGTGATTTTACAGCTTCGTGATTCAGAATGACTTTCACCAATGGAGCTATGCTAGCATTCACATCAATTCTCTACAATCAATAATATTTAATTTGTTCCATTAAAACATCTCCAGTATTCACAAACTGTGAATTAGTTTCAGGTTCTATATCTGCGACACTGAACCCTAGGTCTGTTCCAAACCGAGAAAATTTCCAAAGATATATGTGCTGAATGTCAATTCATGTTTTGTGTGATGGTGTTAATTTAAGGAAGGATGTTGATGGTCAGGAGACTGGGAGCATGTCCTGTTCTTTTTCAAATTGTGCTTTGTGGCCTTCAAGTCTTCGAATTGGATGACTGAGCACTCCGTGCAACATCTGATGGAAACGACAACAGAGCGCAATCTTCTTTCTGCTGCTGCTGCTTGTACCCACTCCTGCGAGGTGATCTGCTGCCATGGTGCCACACTTGTCTGTCTTGTACCAGCCCCACACACCCATTGTTGCTCGACTGAAACTGGTCTCTGACATCCGCCTAGTCCACCAGAATATCAACTTTGAGTCAAGCTGTTGAAATAGTTTTGACTGACACAGCTTCCTGCCCTATGTGTGTGAGACTGACAACTGAGCCAAGCTGCCACCTCACACTCACTGAGACTGGAGAGTGTCCCCCTGTGCCCCCACAATTTCCCAGCTGTTTAATGATACAGTTACAACATGTAAAAGACATTTGGTTAGGTACCTGAATGGGAAAAGTTTACAGGGATATGGGCCAAGCACACGCAAATGGAACAAGTTTAGTTTGGGAAACCTGGTCAGTATGAATGAGTAGGACTGAATGACTCTGTGCTGTATGACTCAATAACTGTATGACTCCAGAACCTCTCCTCATAAAACGGTCCCTTCATTCCAGGTATTAGTCCAGTGATATAAAATTTACTAAAGATTATCTCCCGTGCTTCTGGTTTTGCAGACTAAAGTATTCTTGTTGTGCCTTCATTGACCTGATCACTGCGCTCTGGAACTGAGTCTCTCAACCTCTTCATCTCTCGACCTCCCTTTCCTTCTTTAAGAGGCTCCTTACAATCTAATTAATGACTAATTTATTGATTTTAGTGACAGTATTTGAGGGACATTCAAAGAATCACTGGAACAAAAACAGAAAATGCTGAGGTTCTGATGAAGAGTCACTGGATTCAAAACATTAACTCTGTTTTCTTCCGACAGATGTTGCCAGACCTACTGAGTTTCTCCAGCAATTTCTGTTTGTGTTTCAGATCTCCAGCATCCATAGTTATTTATTTGATCAAAGAATCACTGGGGTGGGAGAGGGGCCAAATGATGAAATGTTCTCATGGAGATTAGGGACATGGATGAGACAATAGATGTTCCTGCTGTACCTTCACTACAGAAGAGGAAGCTGACAGTGTCACAGGAAACGAGTGTGTGAGGTAAGTTATTGACTGGGATCCAGGAGGAGGTGCTCAAGGTGGGAGGCAGTGACATAGAGATCATGACCTCATCATTGACCCCCACAGTGGAGAATGTGAAAGGAGGATCCCAAGGCAGTCACCACCAGTTAGAAAAGCATCTGGTCTGTCCAGTGCAGTCTGTGTCCCTCAGAGAGTTGTGTCTGCATTCAGAGAGAAACAAATCTCCTTTTCTCTTGCTGCTTCTTTCTACCAGATTCCCTCATTTACATTCACTGTTCCCCTCCTGTGTTCATTCACTTTGTGTGAAGTGCTGCACTCTCCTTTTTTTCTTGCCTCCTGCTTCTGAGCTCCAGATTTCTGAATCTATTTGTGGAAACTTCTGCCTCATCCATTTCCTGTCAGTTTGGGTGCATCTTCTCCATCATGTATTAGCTCAGCTTCTAATCTCATAATTTCATCTTCCATGACAGGAAACAGTTCCTTTGCTGCCTGTGAATCTGTTCCTTTTTTCACTCTCACTGTTTGAACTCCCGAGGTTGTCATTTATTCTGCCTTGTGTTTGTTCACGTTCTTTGGATGGTCATGACAATGCAACAACAGAGACAGTCGAGGGCTTCATTTCCTATTCCGCACTTGGAGTATTGCGTACAGTTCTGGTCACCGCATTATAGGAA